GACATAGTCAAAATAATGAGCATTAAACTGGGACCAGCCCTAAAAATCTTTAATTCCATTCTGATGTTCAAAGCTGCAGAGAAAAACTCACACAATGAACTTTGAAGAGAATGGAAATGTGTACGAGTCAGCTTTCTCCACTGGAGCTCATGTTTTATTCAAAGCACAAAGACTTGCTAGAACTATTGAGTAAGGACTCTCAGAAAGGAAGAAACATATGTTCAGCACTGGTGAACTGTTTATATTCTCCTGGAGCCAGTACACATTTGAATCCTTCTGGGAAGTGTTCAAGCTTTTGAGAAGGTACTGTGTAACAACCGTGTCAGCTAGTCTTATTTACCAAACTAATGGCGCTAATTCTCCATGGATGGTTAGGATCCCTAACTTTCTCTGGACATCAAGAAAACCTTCATTAATTATTTATGCTGTATTATATAAGGGAACGTTAATATTTTATAAGAATTCTTGAATTCTACTTCATGTACCCATTTTACTTTTCAGATGCTTTTACTGGATACTATCAAAATAAAAACTGAATAGCCAAAAATTAGGCTACAGGTAGCCAGATGAGACTGTTATGGCTAATACCTATGTGTGCCATAGTTCAAAAATGAAACACTTAATGTTACATATGTGACACTTTATGCTACAGCATATAACTTTACAGATGATAAAACTGTCTGTTTGCTTGTTACAAAACAAACCTTGTTGGGGTTGAAATTATAATGCTTTTTTGATAACTGAATGTTTTTACTTTTGCACGATTACAAAAATGTTATGTGAGTTTTTCCACCAGCATCTTTAATGTATTTTACCAAAAGATCAGTATAGAGAAGGCTGCAACTGAAAAATAAACTTCAACTTCATAGAAGACTTTTCGTTAATGCTGCACAATAAAGTCCCAACCATTCACATGGGAAAGCTACAGTCCTTCAGCACATGAAGGAAAATACATGTACTTTGAGGTAAGGACATTAGCAAAAGAGAAAATAGATTCATTTATGTCTGCACATGCCATCTCCAGTATAGTTACCACAACAGTGGAGGAAACCAGTGTGCTAAATGTAGGACTGTTACTCTGGCTTCATATTCAATATAAGTTTGTTTTCCCAATGGTGGGAGAATTATTTCACCCACTACTTCCTAGTTGGAAAGTCTGATTGTAAGCAAATAAGGCATAGGAGTGTCCTGGGTTCATAGGTAGAGAAAGCATGGAGGAAGAGGATACTTAAACGCATATGGTGCATCAGCACATTCTAGGTGTAAAATGCATGCGTTTCACTGGGTCATTAGCAGTCTGCAGATGCCATCAGCAAGTACTTAGGTGAAGCAACCTTCCTTATTGTAGGATTATTACAACGATTTGTATGGGAAAGTTGTTGCACTTGGTGTATATAAGTAAGATGTAAACCAGATGCACTTTAAATGGGAGAAAGCCTAGCTATGTGTGTACTGAGGACTGTTCCAGAATGCTGCTTTTGCAAGAAGAGAGAGAAGAGTTGGATCAGGATTTTTGGCAGCCCTCTTCTTAGCGCTGTGGTGGGCAGTTGCTCAGCCTTTAAAGCTGAGAACAAACAGAGCATTTCCGTTGCACAGAGATGGGAAAATTTTGCATCTTCCCACAGATTTTACTAGGCTGTTCTTTGGCTGGAGTTCCTTAAGATTTCAAGAACACTCTGTGCCCTTTCCAGATCATGTAGGTGACTGGTACCTGCCATAATAGGAGGTAAAACAGGGTCAGTATGAAGTAAGTTGCATTGCTCTATTAATTTCCTTCCATAGCATTGCATAATTAATATTTTTACATTTTGTTCAATATTTGTACATTCAAATTGCACTCTTATTGTACTACAATACAAATAAAACCTGAACTGGAGCTGTCTGTTACATTTGTGTCTGCCCAGGATTTTCCAATGAACCTGGGTGTTCCCAAGTAATTCCTCACTGTAGCTTAATGTGGCCATGAGTTAAAAAGGAACCTGGCTACTGCTTTCTGCCCTCTCCTTAAACACTTAACTCCTAAGGCTCGCAGACCATTTGTGAGCTTGGACAAAGTCACTGGCAGCACCTGAAGTTGCCCATGCAGATCAGTAAAATGCCACATTCTTCTGTTTTCTTTCCTTCTGTCCTTCCATATAGTTTATTTTCCTTCACCCTCTGTCTCTCTATTGTGAGCCAGCTCTGTAGCCTGCAGTGAGAACCAGTGAAGAGATTTGCTGCTCGACAGAGGTTATTTGGACGTGGTAGCAGCTCCCTGGATTTTTATATACCTACTTACAAAGTAATGTAGTTTAAGAAATGGGTTTGAGTTAATACTGTTTACAAGATTTAGACTAAACCTCACTTAAATGATTCAGAGACCAACTTTCTATTCGTACAGGTATCACAACAGTGAGGACACGAATAATCCTTACTTTTGTATCCAATCTGATGAGGTAGCAGGGTATAACCACCTCTGTTACAAAAACTATACCCAACAAATTTACTTAGAAACTAAAACCGCTCAGGAGACCTACTGAATCCTTAAAACGGTGGTTGGTATTGTATGTTGTGTTGTAGGTAGCCCAGCTGTCACACAGGTAAAGGTTGTCCACTGATTTCTATGGAGCCACATGAGAAATCCTAAGACTTCAATAAGAGAGCCTGGCCATTAAATGCAGTGAGTTCTCCTTATCCTGCAGTATCTCCAGTGTAGTCTCTGCACTGGAGTCATCCCTGCACAGCTGAGCTTTAACAAAACAGCTGTGGGTTTCCAAGCCATGTGTTTGAGTGTTTAAAGAATCATGGTGACCACAAACGCTACTTTGCCTACACAGACATTTTTAGAACTGGTAGGAGATTGATCTTTTTGGTAGAATGCAATGTTTTAATGAAAACCTATTTTCTATTCCAGTAATGGGTCGTGTTTGGGGGCTGCTGCTACCATCCATCACTGCGTGTTTGTCCGAAGCCATATACTGTCAGGCAGTAGCCCCTGGGATTTCCAGACATGCAGGAGTTAAGAGGCGTATGTTAAGAAGAAAAGGAGGCTGTGGAAGAGGAGAGGAGAGGGCTCCGCTCTGTGTGGGAGACAGGAGAGTCACCATGTGGAGAAGGCCAGTTTGTTCTGGGAAACAAACTCAGAAGGAAGATGAGGCATTCGCTCCCTGGCGCCAAAGCTGTGGTTACAAACGCACATGGCAGCATCCCAGATAAATCATTCTTGCTGCTTGGAGAGCTCATCTTAGAATCCTTATTTAGCAAATTCAGGATCAATGTAAAAAAAAAAAAAAAAAAAGTTTTACGCATGGAGAAAATACTAGAAACTCATCTTCCTGCAAACTAAAAATCAGGCCCACCATTTTAAAATACAAAAATTATTGTAGTAGGCTTTCAGTGATGATACTATAAGGAAATGCCGGTGAAAAGGAAATCTTTAATTTGTGCCACTTCAAAACATTAACTGTATTAGCATCAGAAGCAGTGAAGTGCTCACATTGGCTCACAGTGTGGTTTTTAACATTCTAAGGGTCAAAATATTATCTGAATTTGTCAAATGATCCATATGGAAAAATAATACATGACACATGCAGTAGTCTAGAAAATTTTATTATATCTAATGCCTCTAGACTGCTCTAGAATTTCTATTTAAAATAATGAAAATGCTTAGGTTTAATTTTTTGTAAAAAGTAGCCAGTACAATTGAAAAAGAAAAAAGGCATTATTAAACATAACTGTTAAAAATATACATACACTTTCACCAGAAAGAATGGCACTGAATTATCTTCACAACAGAGGGATTTATTTTGACAAAAAGTCAAATGCTTCTGCAGGGAGTGTTGTGTACACCATCAGATACTGGGATAGTCACGTGCCTCCAGCTCTCTTTTTACCTGGGTGAGCAGGGATGCTGGGCTCCTCACCTCAAAGACCAGGGACTCCAGGAAGTTCAGCGTCCTGTGGATTCTCTTTGGGCACGGGATATCGAACACACGAAATGCAGCCACCAGCGCTGCCAGGGCCATAGTGCAGTCATCGAGCTGGGCTAGCTCTTCTCTTTCTACATACAGTGCAAACTCACACGAATTCACATGGAAGGGATTTTTGACTTCCAATACTGGTGTCACCACCTTTACCTAAATTAAAAACAGGAGATTTCAAATGATGCCACAGCATCACTTTGGTGAACAGGTCAGAGAAATAACTAACTACACTTTTGAATTTAGCTAGTATTTCTATGGATATTTGCCATCTACCCAAAAGGCAGACTAATGTCTACCTTTTCCAGGAACTAGGCTGAGCAACCAGAAGGCCAAGTGATGCACCCAGGCAGCTGATACATGGAAGAGACACCAAGCCTGCTGTGCTCTGTCTCCTACCTCTTCATTCACTGCAGCAAACAGACTGGAATCATCTCCAAAGACATCTGGCAGGAGTAGACATGCAGCAGTCTTTTTCATATCTGTCAAAGACAAGGATTTCCACTAAATTACAAATGCAAACATTCTAGCACTGCAGTATGGTCCTGGAAAAGCAGATTACAGCCTGTATAATAGTTAACAGCTCAGCAGTGGAACTGTTGTTCAGTCCATTTTGAAGAGTAGCTTGTACCACAGTGAAAGTTTAGGCACCTCAGCTGGCAAAGGGTATTCAAATAATTCATGGCACTGCTAATCAGTATTAACAAGAAGTACGTAGGCCTCTGGGTTGCTTCTGTTGGAATTTGCAAGCCGAGTAGACCTCCTGCACCCCCCACCCGTGCCCACACTCTTCTCTCCCCAGTAAATCAGATATTTTTGGGGACTCCATTTCGAAGGCTGTGGTACGAGCTGGTGCTGCAGGACCTCCAGGGACATGGTATGTGCTACCCTCTGGTTCAGCTATTATTGACTGTAACATCTTTCTTGCAGGTCAGGCTTCTGGTGCCATGTGTTTCACTGAACCTGTCTGGTCAGGCATTTATCACCTAGGTGCCAGGTCAAGTTGTTTGTGAGAGAAAAACAGGAAAGTAAAGGCCATGGGACTTGACTAAGATGTAGAGTTAAAACTTTGTATAAGAACAGGGGAAATTACTTACGTCCATAACTTTCTAAGGCCAAAGGTATGGGTAGAAAGTCCATAAAGGCTTTCTGGATTAGGCTGTCTGCTGACAGTTTTTTATCTATCATGGGCTACTGAGTACTTGTGGTTTTAAGCTTAAAGAAAGAAAACCACAGTATTTTAACCTGCTCTGCTGGCTTCTTTAAGAAATGGCCTGGTAATAAAAGGAGTGAAACTACTATAGGAAACACACGTATTCATACTGTGTCACCTTAGATTTGACATCCTGGCATTATGCCTGTGTAATAGAAAACGACGGTCTAAGGAGCACTTCTCACAGAGCTAAGCTCGAGCATAGATGCTGACAGCTGCAATTTGGGAAGAACAGCCATTTTGAGTAACTGCTTCAAAGGTTTTGCCCTTGCAGAACCGTGCTCCCCAGACTTTTCAGACTGAAAGAAGTTGAGTGGCAGTGGGTGCTTGCTCCCTCACAGCCAGGAAGCCGAACACTTCAAGATACCTGGACCTCTTTGCATGACTCTGGTACCTGCTCACCAGAGGTACCAGTTTGCACACTTAGTCCTGCAATGTGCCTGCAGAGATGAGGCACTCGAAACACAGTGGTAATTACTAGTTTTATTTCACTGGGATGAAGAATTCACCCATAGAAACAGTATCTCTCTAAAGGAAATGGTCTCTTTTTATGGGACTATTTCTAAACCAGAAAATTTGTTTTCTGTGTGTATTTTTAGAAGATAATAAGCACTCTTTTACATATCTAGAAATGCATAACTCTGCTCATGTAGCTATACTTATTCTGCAGTCTTTCATTCAATTAAAAGTTTCAATACCTGACAATTCTCCTAGTAATTTCATTAGATTTTATTCTTAATGCTTCCAATTGCTGTATAATTTTTCAAGCAACTGTGACATTTTTAATATGTTTTTGCAGTAAAATTGGAACTAGTTTAGTTACATAAGTAAGGACAATTAGCTACAACAAAACTCTGATATTCAGAGCATAGAAGATTTGTACTGACACTTCAGAATGTCTTCCTCTGTGTGACGCTTCAGATTTTCTTGCAGCATGATGTTAATTGGATTATTCCTCACTGCATACAAAGATAATATGTTTTCTGAATAAATCTCCAAAATCTCAACTGTTTTCTTATAAATGTCCATGTGTGTGAGAAGCTGGAACTCCCTAAAAAGCTAAAAGAGAAACAAATATTTGGTATTACTGCAATCCTGAGAACTGAAAACAGCACAAGGTGCACACTTTGAAGACAGGATAAAACTAGCTCAGTAAAAAAAGATTATAAACCAGAGGGGATGGTTTAATTTCTTTTCAAAGCAAGGAAGAAATATATCGAGTAACACCAAAATGCTTCAGATAATGCACTGATGTTGCGCGTGGTATGTTTAACACAGGATTGGTGAATCTTTCAAAGTGGCGTTAGCAGCAAAAGTGTGAGTTAGGTTAGAGAGAACAATGTTGGATACTTCACGGGAAACACCCAGTAAAACGTGTGCCTGTGGTTATATCACATCTATAACAAAAAATTCAATGTCATTAGTAAAAATAGCTATTACCTGATAAGGGCATCTTAAGAAAGGAAATAGTCTAAGAATGTCTTTTAAAGGTGCCTTATCACTGATCATCTTTCTCCGCATTTCAATTGTCACATTCATTCTGTTATCCACTTCTTTCCAGTTCCTCTGAGTTTTCAGATATTCTTGCTTAAGCCATTTAATGTGTACATCCATTGCACTGCCTTCAAGATGAACTGGTTCTTCCTATCAAGAAATGAAGGACAGAATTGTGACAAATCAGCTAGTCTTTTTATCTGATGTAGCTTGTGTGATTTGAGTGTAGTCATAGTGTAGACATGCTCAGCAGAAAGTACCTATAGTATAATTTCAGTACCAGCTCTGTGGACTTGCCTTCATGTTCTAATAGTTAGATGAAGATCTGTATTCATATAATAGTATAGCTATCAGCCAAGTCTCCCAAGCTTAAATTACATATTTGAGGATATTAGTGAAATTACTATGCCTGTGTCTGGTTTGCCTAATTGAAGAAATAGTATTTTCTTCTTACTCATACAGGCCCTAGAAGCAGGAAAACAAACTTTCACATTTATGCAACGGAAGTATTTACCTCCAAGGAGACCAGCTGAACTCAGAAAACTTAATAGAAAACATGGCTGAGTAGTTTGATTGTTAGTGTATTCAAAAAGTTATTTTGTACTTGAAGATTGTTAATAGTCTTCTTCAAAATTACTATTATTGTCCCTGCTTTAATTCCAAACACAGTAATTTGTAAGAACAGGAGTGGCTATCTATAGGAGTAGTGAATCAGTGGCAGTAGCCTGGAGCTGTTTAGTTTCTATCAGAGGACGCAGTGAATATGCTCATTGAAACAACCTGAGACAATGTACAAATGCACTGTTAGTACAGTTACCACTCCCAGGCTGCATTTACCCTGGATTTTCCCATATGTATTATCACTGTGTTATCACTGACGCAGCTGTTGGCTCTGTCAGTGTTGGCCTGTGGGTCAATGTCAGCGGGAGTTAAAACACTTCATCCTGTTCCCTGGAACATTTAAGATACAGAGCTACGGAACATACAACATCCAAAACTGCTTCACAGTGCTCTGTATGTGCAATTAAACTTTCCAGTTTAATTAACATCCTTTCTTAAATTGTGCATGTGGCATTCCAAGAATGGTTGCACAATGTACACAATTAAAAAACCTGTCTCCCTCCTAGTATATATCCATGGATTTCAATAGCCACTGGGAAAAGAAAATAAGCCCTGCATGCAGGACAGGTACCTACTGTGACCCCACAGGTACTCTTCTGGCCTGTGCTAGGCTGCAGTATTATCACAGTCTGCACTCTTTCTAATAGAGGACTTTAATCTGCATTGCATTACAAGAGTAATATTTGTTTGTGAGCAGCTTGAGTAGGCATTCCTACCCTCCTCCTCACTGCACAGGGACAAAGGTGGTGGGTCAGATGGTCTGAGTCCCATATCCTCCTCTACCTGGCTGAGTGCTGGGAAAAAGAATCGTAGAATCATAGAAGAGTTAGAGAGGACATAAAGATCGTTTAGTTCCAACCCCCCTGCCATGGGCATGGGTGCCTCACACTAGACCGGGTTGCCTGCCTCTGTCCAACCTGGCCTTGAACACTGCCACGGATGGAGCATTTACCACTTCTTTGGGCAACCTGTTCCAGTGCCTCACCACCCTCAATGTAAAGAACTTCTTCCTTATATCTAATCTAAACTTCCCCTGTTTAAGTTTAAAGCCATTACCCCTTGTCCTACCACTACAGTCCCTAACGAAGAGTCCCTCCCCAGCATCCTTACAGGCCCCCTTCAGATACTGGAAGGCTGCTATGAGGTCTCCACGCAGCCTTCTCTTCTCCAGGCTGAACTGTCCTAACTTTCTCAGCCTGTCTTCACATGGGAAGGACTCCCATGTGAAACCCCTGATCATCCTCGTGACCCTCCTCTGGACTTGCTCCAACAGCTCTATGTCCTTTTTATGTTGAGGACACCAGAACTGGACACAATACTCCAAGTGAGGTCTCACGAGAGCAGAGTAGAGGGGCAGGATCACCTCCTTTGACCTGCTGGTCATGCTTCTTTTGATGCAGCCCAGGATACGGTTGGCTTTCTGGGCTGTGAGCGCACACTGAAGCCAGCTCATGTCAAGCTTCTCATCAACCACCACCCCCAAGTCCTTCTCTGCAGGGCTGCTCTGAATCTCTTCTCCGTCCAGCCTGTAGCTGTGCCTGGAATTGCCCTGATCCAGGTGCAGGACTTTGTACATGGCTTGGTTGAACTTCATGAGGTTGGCATTGGCCCACCTCACAAGTGCGTCCAGGTCCCTCTGGATGGCATCCCTTCCCTCCACCTTATCATAATAAGGTTCTTCTCAGTAGGGCCCAGTGGCTATATCTTCCCTCTCACAATGTGCGTGTCCCATGTCACCGATAAAGATGCTGAACAAGACAGGTCCCAACACCAATCCCTGAGGGACATTTACCACAACTCTATGCATGCAGCCATCCAGCCAGTTCTTTATCCACTGAGTGGTCCATCCATCAAATTGATGTCTCTCCAATTTAGAGACAAGGAGGTCATGCGGAACAGTGTTGAATGCTTTGCACAAGTCCAGGTAGATGATGTCAACTGCTCTGCCCCTGTCCATCAGTTCTGTAGCCCCATCATAGAAGGCCACCAAATTGGTCAGGCAGGATTTCCCCTTAGTGAAGCCACGTTGGTTGTCACCAACAACCTCGTTGTTTTTCATGTGCCTTAGCATGCTTTCCAGGAGAATCTGCTCCATGATGTATAAAGTAAGCTTGTGAGTGTAGTGGCACTTCCCCTGAGTTCTGTGAAGACTCCACTAAACTGGGGTTCATGGACTCCCAAGGATTATGGCTTTAGATTTAATAGCCTTCAGTAGACTTTTTCCTTCCATTATTTTTCCCATTCACTTTTCCAATTCTCATAAAATCATACATCCTGCATTAAATTCATCAGTTTAACTGTGCACTGTCAGAAAAAACTTTGTTTTTCTCTCGCTGCTTCTGCCTTCTAATTGTCATACTGGATTCAAAACCTATTCACCATCTTCTTGCCACTGTACTTTTATAGATATGCCATATTCTGTCCTCAGCCACCTCTTTTCCAGCCAAGACTGTCCTAAGCTGTTGAATCATTCCACATAGAAAAGCTGGTCCAAACTTTCAATAATCCTTGTTACTGTCTTTGCATATTCTCTTAATTTCACTACAGCCCTTAGCTAGTTGAGATGTTGAAACACCACAGGTGCATCCAGTGGAATAATGTGCTCCCTTTTGTTTCTTTCTTACATAACTCTGAGCATTCACTATACGTTTTTGTACTGCTGCTTTAGCATTGTGCCAAGTTTTCTTTGGCATAATACAGAAATATCATTTGTGAATAGTAATAAGAAGCTCAGAGCCAATCACTGTAAATGTTAGGACTGCATTTTCTCCTGTTGCCTTAGTTTTCATCTAACACTAACAAATTTTATCTATTGTTTTTTTGCCCCGTCACTCAGTAGCATGGGATCCTTCTGCAGGTCTTCGGACAGTCTTTTGTTGTTACTACCCTTAGTAGCATCACCCAGTGTGGTCAGCCAACTATCCTTTTTCCACACTATTTAGAAATATATTGAACTGCTTAAACTAAGCATTAATAATTGTTCTGCTGTAAAAACCAGCTGTATTTGCCTAGCCTTCTTTGTTCTATTTTATTCATGCAAGGACCTTCTTGCTTATCCTTCAGATTATATCCTCTAAGAGCCTTTGAAAGGCATGTGGTGAAATCTCCCCTGAAGTTAAAGTAAACTGTATCAGTTGGATTTCCTGTGTCCTCAGGGTTGTTGAATACTTCAAAGAACTAATGAATTCATGAAGAATTACTTCTCTTCACTGAAACTTTGTTGATTCTTTCCCAATGTGTTCATCTCTTGAGTCTGCATTACAGTTCCTGCCAATTTGGCCAGTAAAGACAGTAGCTTTCTTGGTCAGTATGGTCCCTACCATCTGTGAATACCATTCCAGTATTCGCACATCCCCAAGTGGGCTGTTCAGCTGTTCCTTAACCTACTAACTTGCACTACGTTGGATGGACTGGCTCTTGCCAGTATGACCACTGCACAAAACCAAGGGCTGATCTACTTCTGTTAGTCTCAAGATGCTCGCGCTTTCTCACACATGTATGCAGACAGTTAGTTGGGGTTTTTTAATTACATTTATGTTTTCCACTCCAGGCAAAAGCTGGTTTGAAGTCTCTGACTCCAAACAGCTGTTATTACTGGCCTCTCTTGTGGGTCTGCTTCCAAGCCTCCTGCCCATGGAGCAGGAGCTTCTTCAGCCACCTGCTGTGGTTCATTTCCAGAGGGGCCATCACCTTCAGTGCCTTACTTGCAGAGGCAGGAAAGCAAAACAAACTCAACCTGGTGTGCTGTAACCACAGACAAACTGACTGGGTTGCTTAGAAACTGACTGGGTTGCTTGTGACCTTTACTCCAGCTAATTTCTGTCCCCCTTGTCAAGGCAAACACAGCTCAAGTTGATGGACTCTCATCATAGTCAGCTCTGTCTCTGAGAGATGGTTTAGCTAATGATATTATTAATTATCTAAATGAGACTATTTGACATTTTTGTAAGCATCAGTGGCAAGCTACCAATAGAAATACAGCAGTAGTATAAGGAAGAGTTGCTGTCAAACATATCTACTAGGAAAAAAAATAATGTGATGGAAGGCCAGACTTCATCGTGTAAATCATCCATTACATATGAGAAACACAAGCAGAAGTCAGTGTTAGAATTGCTTTTCTTGCAGTGTTCAGCCTGCTTAGAGTAATGACCATCTGTAATCTTTCCACATTTTAAGCTGCATTTCTAGGCTGAAGAAAGGTAGTTCTGAAATGTAAGCTCTTTAACATTGTTTGTTTAAGCTAGTAGTCTGTGTAATAGGTGTATATTTCCAGCCATAAAACACATCTTAAAACTTCAGGCAAGTAATAGAGCTCCCAAAATGTACCAAATCCCTGGTAGGATTGGTTTGGATGATTTGGCCAGTTTTCTACTGGCCTTAGTAGGTATTGCTGTTTCAGAGATTACTTCGTGTTTATTAAAGTGCAGCGGAAACATAACAAGTGAAGTTTATGTAGTTTGAGGATGGGCAATGATGAGTATGATGTAAAATACTTGGGGTGTTGTAAAATAGTGCTGCATTCAGTGAAA